CAGCTGCGCCGCCCGTCAACCGGCGCTGTGTAGGCCTTCAGTGCGGGCTGGACCCCGGGGCGCCGGACCTCAGAATCCCCAGGAGAAAGTGCGGGAGGACGGGAGAGGACGAGAAGGAGACGGGGAGGGGACGCATTCCCCAGCCGTCGCCGCCTTAAAGCCAACTCACTAGTGCAGCGGCTTCGCGCCGCACAGCCTGACGGGAGAATCAGCTTCCCAGCGCGGGCTGTACCCGAGACGGGCCTCCGGCACCGCCCCCGCCGCGGCGCACGCCGGGAGAGCCGACTTACCCCTCCCTGCAGTAAACGGGCGAGAGGGAGGGCATTTCCGGTATTCTGACTCTTTTTACGGAAGGGGTGGGGCTCTCCTGATCCCGCCCCTCACGCCGGCGGGGGCGTGACGAAGAGTGATAGCCCCTCCCATCGACCGGCCCCTGCACCGGAAGGAGAAAGGCAGGGGAGTCTATCTGGCGGTGGGCGCGCGGTCACGTGACGCAACTGCCTGCGTCGGGGGGACGGGTCATCCCTCCATCTCCTCGGGTCACGAGTGACAGGAAGTGGCTCCTGCAACGGAGTTTTCGAGATGGGGACCTCCCTGGACATTAAGATTAAAAGAGCGAACAAGGTTTATCATGCAGGGGTAAGTGGAGTGGGCGGGTCTGCAGGTCGCGTCGTTCCCAGGATTCCACGCCCATCTGGGTGCCCGTGGGCGGGGCAGGGGCGCGCCGCCGGGTGCGTCCCTGTCAGGTGCGTCCCCGTCTGGTGCGTCCCCGTCAGGTGCATCCCGCGCGCGGTCGGCTGCCCAGCCCAGAGGCCCTCGAAGGAGTCGCCGCCACGTCCGGGGGGCGTGCGGGACCGCGGGGCCGGCGCCGGGGCTGCAGTGCTAACCGCTTGGCTCCTCGAACACCCGACCCCGCCTCGGTTCCGGGGCTCGAGCTGTCGCGGTGCCCTGAGGGCATGACCGAGCGACCCGTTCCCTCGCTCGGAAGGCATAATTCACCTTCAGAACCGAAATACGCACTTCAAACTGGGCCACCTCTAACACCATACAGAAGTTACTCATTTCTCTGGTTTTAATTTTTGAGTAACATAACGAAGGAATGGCATATTAAAATGCAAGATGCGGGTCCCCCCCCAAAAAAATCTTAACTATGACACTAACAAGTTTTATGCCCCTGGCCGCTTAACCTCCTCGGTCCTCCGTTTCCTTATTTGCAAAATGAAACTGTTGCAAGGTTCCTCTCACTCCAGCTCAGGGAATATCAGCTCTTAGTCTTCGTCTGAATCAGTCACCTTGGGGAATTTTAAAATGTGATTGAGCAGGTCCCCCCGCAGGGGTGCCAGTGATTCCATCGTGCAGCCAGGGTTGGAATCACAGGTGCTCTCCCTGTGGCATAAGACTGGGAGTGGTGCGTAGTCACATGACTGCAGCGAGGTCTCGAAAGGGATGGCGTCCCAGGCAAAGATCGTGAATGGATACTAAAAGCTTTGGGCGCAAGATTATTGCGGAAACCTGATACTTACACAAACTCAACTAGTCACCGTAAATGCAAAGGGAAACAGCTACCTTTATAACGGAAGAATCTGGTAGTCACCACCCTAACCAAGACCAACAGTGACCACCCCCTTACCACCGCCACCGATGGGACTGACATGTTCTGGTGGAATAATAGAAGGTTCCGGCACGATGGATGCGCCGAGGCCGCAGCTCACCTGTGCAGCATTCCTGCCAAAAATGTCTAGCCTAAAGCTGCTCATAAGGAAACAATCGGACATAACAAAAATTAGGAACATTCTATGAAATAATTGGTCCAGATTCTTCAAAAATGTCAATGTCATAAAAAGGGGAATTTTTCTAGATTAAGAGACTAAGGGGATAGGATAACCAAATACAATGCATAATTTTTGATAAATAAATTTGAATATGGACTATATTAAATAATACTTTTAGTATTAAATTTTCTGAATGTGACATTCACATTTTTGTTATGTAGGAGAATACTGAAGTATATAGAGGTCAAGTGTCACAGTTACTAAATTTTAAATGGTCCAGCCATAAACTGTGTGCGTGCACGCAAACACTCCCACGTGTGACGAGAAAAGAGAAAGCAAATGGGGCAAAATATTGCTAGTAACTCCAGTTGAAAGCTATATGGGTCTACTTTGTTTTCTTATTAAAAATAACATCTTTATTGAGATCTAATTCAAATACCATAAAATGTACCCTTTCAGAGTATAGAATTCAGTGGTTTCAACATATTCACAGAGTTGTGCAACCATCATTACCCCCAAAAGAAACTATTAGCAGTCGTCATTCCCCCTCCCTGTCATCCACTACCAATCACAGCGGTGCTGTCTCTATGGATTTGCCTATTCTGGACATTTCATGTAAATAGAATCCTACCATATGTGGCCTTTGTGCCTGGCTCCTTTCACTTAGCACGTATCAGTTCCTCATTCCTTTTGATGGCCGAATACTATTACGTTGTGTGGAAATACCACATTTTATTTATCCATTCATCTGATGATGGGCCTTTGGGTTGTCTTCACTTTTTGGCTACTGTGAATACTGCTGCTATGAACATTCTAGTACAAGTTTTGGTGTGAACATACATTTTCATTTCTCTTGGATAGATACTGAGGAGTAGAATCGCTGGGTGATATGGTAACTTTATGTTTAACTCTTTGAAGACCCACCAAACTTTCCTAAAGTACCTGTACCACTTTACGCTCCACCAGCAGTGTATGCAGGTGCCAGTTTCTCCTTTACTTTGTATTCTCATAACTTTCCTGTAGCTTGGAAATATCAAAATGAGAATTGGGGGTGGCAGTGACAGGAGACTATATACATTTTACTTTAATACTTATTCTTTAACAAGTTAGCACATTCCATTCAGAGATGTTACTCCAGCTGAGATACTGAGATGTTTTCTATGGTTTAAAATATGGTACAAGTAATAAAAAGCACAGTTAGAAAAGATGCAAGAAATGGAATCGTGAAATTGACCCAGCCGAAAGTCTTACCCAGCTAAGACTGCGCCTGTGGGTGGGGAGTTGAAGGTGGTGTCAGCTGTGTCCATCTGGTGCACATTCCTTGGTGCCATTTTCAGGATCAGAATCTCCAGTTATTAGCTATGGCAGTGTTTCTCAATCTTCAGTCACTTTTACGCTTGATGTGTTTGACCTAATGCAATTACACTAAATACATTTAAAAAAAATTATTTATTTAAAATATGTTTTTATTGATTTCAGAGAGAGGAAGGGAGAGATAGAAACATGAATGATGAGAGTCATTGATCGGTTGCCTCCTGCACGCATCCTACTGGGGATCAGGCCTGCAACCCGAGCATGTGCCCTGACTGGGAATCGAACTGTGACCTCGTGGTTCATAGGTTGATGCTCAACCACTGAGCAACACCGGCCAGTCCACACAAAATACATTTTAAAGGTGACCTTATATGGTGATTGTAAAAGAAAAACTAATAAACTTCTAAATAGATGGTTGCTATATCTTTTTTAAAAAGCCCCCCCCCCAAAAAAAGTTGTTAAACTAATCAATATGATGAGTTGACAAAAATATACTCCTGGACATATAGGCCTCTGACTCATATGTTAGAGACTCCATGATCCATGATTCAGGATAGGTGGAGTAGGTGGGAGGACCGTTGATGAGGTCTCAATGCCTTTGGACAGTGCATGTTTCTAGTGTAGTTTGCACCATGGTTGTACAAGGCATGGCCTCTCTGTCCCACCCTCCCTACTCATAGCTGGCTGCAGGTGGAACTAATAACATACACGTTTTCAATTTTTCTTTGTGCATCTCAACAGCACTGGTAAAGATGCACTTACTAAAGATTTGACTCATTGGTGGCAAGCACAGTACCTGTAACTCTCATGGTTTGCTTGAGGTGGCTGCCACCTATGTTGGCCTGTTCCTTAGGCCATAAGTGATTGTTATTGAAGCAAACTATGTTTGTCCATGTAACCATATAAAACAGTCTTATGTTCTACTGAGGACCTGGCAAACACTGGTGTGGGCCATTGTCAGCATCACTCCCATTTTACTAATGAGGAAACTGAGGCCTACACAGGTTGAGTAATTTGCTCAAGATCATCCAACTAATGAAAGTCTGGATGTCAGCACAGGTCATTCAGATTTCAGAGTGTGTCCATCCAACACTATTATATCTCTTCCCTAAGAGTGGCTATTTTTATGGAGAAAATTTTAACGTAGAAGTTGTTATTAATTTCCTAAGAGTGCTATAAATAGCATTGTAATAATTCAACTTAAAAAACTGCTATGACTTCTACTCAGATGATTCTGTTACTGTGTTTCAGAGTATCTTAGTTGTGGAAGCATTTGAAAATGGCTTTGATTCTTTTTGTCACCAGAGAACCTAAGTTATGCTTGAATTTAATAGTGACATTTGGGTGTTTTCCTAGAAAAAAAATATGCTCATTGACAAAATGATGGTTTTTTTAAATCTCAATTGAATAATGTTTAAGGATATAGATAGTATGTGCCAAATTAACAATTAACAATTAAAAATACAGAGGACTGGAAATCTTTCTCCCTCTTGTTGACTCTCTTTTCTGTCCCTGGAGGTATCCACTGAAGCTTGTATACTGTCCCAGACATTTCTTATGCATAACAGGTGCACATGTGCACAAACACACACAACTTGTTCTTTTTGCTTAACAGTGTGTCTGTTTTGGTCCTGGATACCTTTACTTATCACATCTTCACCCACCTTATTCTTTTTTAGACTGTAACTTAAATTCCTTCAGCCGATGTCTACTGATCTCATGGGGCCTACAGGTCATAGAGAAAGAGGTAAATACAGAAAGAAGAGGTGATAAAGTACATGTGTGGTATGTGAGAGGCACTAAGCAGGTGTAGTCATTTTGAGGGAAAGAGAGCTGGGGCTTCATTGACGTGGCCCGGTTTGAATCTAGTTTTGAAATCTAAGTTACATCTCAGCAGCATTGGTAGAGACCCAGTTACTATTTGGCTCCTCGGTGGCAAGCACAGTACCTGTAATTTGTGTGTAACATACACCTGTGATGTCATGCCACCTTCTCCCTGAGAGTTCCTCCCATTGAGTCCAGAAAACTGACTTGTGTTTCCAAAGCCCCGTGGATGGAATGACACAATCAGGAATGTGATAAAAATTCCCTAATTCCCTATTTCCAGCCAAAGTTGTAATTTCCCAATGAGAGGACTTAATATTGTTGTATAATAACGTAAACTAGCATAGCCCTTTCCGACTCATAGTGCTTTAATCCTCACGAATACTGAAGAGGTGGCATTTTCCCCTCACTTTATGGTTGAAAAGACTGAGGCTCAGAGAATTTAGTGGCATACCAAGAGCATTGATAAGAGCAAATATTTGAAATTGTGTCCTTTTATTCCAAAGTCCAGGACTCTGTGTGCCTTCTCTGGATCTGCATTCTCATCTGTAGGATGGAGTTGATACCCACTCAGAGGATTTGTTGTGAGGATTAAATGAGATAGTGCTTTTGTTTGTTTGTTTGTTTTTTTAACATATCTTTATTGATTTCAGAGAGAGAGATAGAAACATCAATGATGAGAGAGTCATTAATCGGCTGCCTAGCCCGCAACCCGGGCATGTGCCCCGA